TGTGAGTGTTTTTCAATTTGGGGTTTTGTATTGGGCCCATCTATAACCGAAATCAATCGGTTTCTGTTGCTAGACAGGTGTGAGCGACTTAAACAGAGGATCCATTTTTTATTGCTCAAATGTGCCCTATCCGTTTCTTTTAAATTTTTCTATTAATAAAAAGGGAATGTCTGATGTCCTGTCTGCTCTTACTTGAATGTGATTTAATAAGAATCTCTTGCTTGCTGTGGGTGTGTTTTTTTTTTTAAGCTAGACTGAAGAGTTTTTAAAGGGCATGAAGAATAATTTGTTTCATCAGAGGGGAAAGCTTGTGAAATTCCAGGAAATCCTTAAAGGAGAAATACTTGCCTCCTGGCAGTGCTGTGCTATCTCAGCCATGTTTGGATTAAGGGACATAGAGATCAGTAGTGGTTTTGTCACTTAAGTTGGAGATAACAGATGTGAGACTGTACAGAGCTGCTGCGTATACTGTGCGTTTAATTTTTTGGTAGGAGGAACTATTGTTCCTCATTTTTTCAGATGAAAGTAGGTGTCACTAATGTCAGACATCAGAGCTACTAACTTAAGGGGGAGCAGCATCACTATCAGGCAGTGAATCTTGTGTTGCTCTATGAAACGTTTTGCAGTGCTGGGACACGCATAGTCTTAAAGACAGTCTTGGGGGCGGTCTGTGCAAAAATGCCCAACACAGTGCAGCGTCAGGGTTACTTAGCCTCCGTCTCAGTTAAACTAAAACGGAAGCCTATTGTGTCCATTGCCCATAGCCTGGATTGAAGAAAATAACGACTACTTTTTAACTTAGAAGTGCTGATCGTTTTTTAATGCTTTCAGTCCAGAAGAGATTTTCCCCCTTTCAGGCTGTGATAAAATGTTAAATAACCTAAGAAAATAGTAAAAGAAGGTGAGACCATTAGATCAGCTTGATACTGCTGCCTAAAACTAGTTGTGTTTGAACAAGTTAATGCTTCTCTATAAAGTTATTTGCGTTGTGGGAAAACTGACTTTTGTCACGTGCTAGAGGCGTTTAGTTTTTTTCTATTTCTCTAGGGTTAGATCCCTTTCCTTAATGGCCTCCGGCAGGGTAACATCTCCTTCAGTGGTGGAAAGCTGCATTGTATTCTTTGGAGTTCATCATTGCTATAAATGCTCTTTTGTTCTTTGTACACTCTTGCCTACTCCCAATGTGGGGAGTAGGATTGAAGAGACTGACTGACTCCCTGACCAATGAGATAATGGTGTGTGAGGAAATATATTTTATTGGACTAACTTCTGTTGCTGAGAGGGAAAAACTTTTGCACTGACAGTGCTCTTCAGGGCTGGGAAGTATGTTCCCGGTAAGCTGTGTGCTTGTGCAACTGCTCAGGAGAGATTCGGTGCTGCCTGGCTGATTAGCAGAGCTCTCACAGCTTGGTTTTATGTTTCTATTGATGGTGCCCTTTCACATGTGCATTGGTGCATATTAAAATTTTTCTGCACACGGACAGAAAAAAATCCACACAAGGATGGAGAAGATTAGAGGGGACATTAACTCGGAGTGTCACAGCTAAATAGGAGGCAGAAAAGATTGTTTAGCCTTTGTAGGCAGCAATGTATATTTCAAGGGACCATTCAAGGTGACAGGACATGTCAACACCAGAGGTAGGTGGGTGGGAGGAAGGAAGTGAGGGAAGGTGAAAAAGCAGCTCGGATGGGGCAGAGTGGCTGTTGTGGTGAGCTATAATTCCTGTGCACCTATCCAGTCCATGATTTGTAGTGTCTAGCAAAGTTATTTAAATTCCCTGGCTCGTTCTTTGAAGATGATCTGCCAGCTTTCCTTTATGAATAAGGACCCATGGATGACAGGGTGTGTTTATCTTTTTTCATTGTCTTGTGAGCCCATGCAAGAGTGGAGTGATTGGCTTCACCTACATAGTTGTTGAAGTATGTGGTGTGCTGACAGACGCTACATATTAAACACTGATCAGTGGCATTTGCTCATGGATCTTGCTACAGACATGACTTAGGAGGGCTGTACCCTCTGCTTGTCCTACGCATGCGGAAGGGTGGGTGAACTTTCCACACTATGATGATTTGTAGGAGACAGTTAAAACATAGACTATTTCCCAGCCTGAATGTGTGTAAAGGACGGAAGGGAAGGGAGGAATATGAGTCTCATGAATAAACTGTACCCTGAGGCATTGCTTCTCCTCTCAGCTGTCAGGCTGCTGGGCTGAATGAAATGAATAGGGCTTTTCATTAACTAAAGGCAAATGTGTCACCTAAGGCTTCTTGTCTGAATGGTGAAGATGGACTTGTCTGTCCCAAAACATTAGAGTTCAAATGCGTTAAAGCTGTTTAGCCTGGTTGTTGCCTAATGACTCTGTAATTACCTATAGTGAACAGTGTATACACACAAATCTACTGCCAAGCAAAGCTCATCCAAAAACTGAATATGGGCCACTGAAGATTAAATGTGCCCTGCCCTCTCCTTTGCTGGCAATTTCTGGTAGGGCTGAACGTGTGCACCAGTTCAGGCTGTGTTAGGTGTATGTCACAAGGAATCCTGTCAAGAAGTGTACAAGCTGCCTTAGGGCTACATTTCAGTAGGACCCCTCAAGAACACAGCATTGTAGAGTAAGTAGTCATGCTGGATGTCGGTACCCTGAACACTTAAGGGCACAGTATGCTCTTCTAAAGGAAAATTAATATATCCTCATCAAATAGAAAGGAAAACTGAAGGACAGCAGGGGAAGTGACTTGTTCTGGGTCCTACAAAAGGTCAACAGCAAAAACCCACCTTTCTGGATTTCTAGTCCAATGCAGTCCCAAATGAGGATTGGTAAAATAAAGGCTTCATAGAATACTAGAACTGGAAGGGACCTCAAGAGGTCATCAAGTCCAGTCCCCTGCCCTCAGAGCAGGACCAAGCACCATATAGATCAGGGCTACTCAACTTTGGAAGCCCCGGGGCCACAATGATAGTCACAGCACATGCCGAGGGCTGCAACTTATGTGTGATTGCATACACATACAAATAGTTTATTTCACATTGACAGGCATGAATACAAAGATTAAGGCAAGACTACACAACATGTAGGCCCTGTCAGTTCTGATATTAATACAATGCAATATTTATCCAATTTCCACCCATCTGACAGCACTTTTAATGAGCAATGTCAGCCCAGGAATTTAACTACTAAAATGCATATCAACAGAAGACCATTATATTGATTACTTTTTTGTTTTGGCTCCTACCCGTGGGTCCCATGTTGAGTAGCCCCGGTCTAAAACATCCTTGATAGACATATGTCTAACCTCTAAAATATCTCCAGTGATGGAGATTCCACAACCTCCCTAGGCAATTTATTCCAGTGTTTAAACATCCTGACAAAGTTTTTCCTATTGTCCAACCTAAACCTCCTTTGCTGCAGTTTAAGCCCATTGCTTCTTGTCCTATCATCAGAGGCCAAGGAGAACAATTCACACCCCCCACCACCACCACCACCTCCCTGTGACACCCTTTTAGATGCCTGAAAATGCTATCATGTCCCCCCTCAGTCTTCTCTTCCAAACTAAACAAGCCCAATTCTTGCAGCCTTGCCTCATAGATCATGCTTTCAAGACTTTTAATAATTTTTGTTGCTCTTCTCTGGACCTTCTCTAATTTCTCCACATCTTTCTTGAAATGTGGTGCCCAGAACTGGACACAATACTCCAACTGAGGCCTAATCAGCGCAGAGTAGAGTGGAGAATGACTTCTCGTGTCTTGCTTACAACACTCCTGTTGATGCATACCAGAATCATGTTTGCTTTTTTTGCAATAGCATCACACTGTTGACTCATATTTAGCTTGTGGTTCACTATGACCCCTAGATCCCTTTCTGCAGTATTCCTTCCTAGACAGTGACTTCCCATTCTGTATGTGTGATACGGATTGTTCCTTCCTAAGTGGAACACTTTGCATTTGTCCTTATTAATCTTCATTCTATTTTCCTCAGACCATTTCTCTAGTTTGTCCAAATCATTTTGAATTGTTATCCTATCCTCCAAAGCAGTTGCCACCCTTCCCAACTTGATATTATCTGCAAACTTAATAAGTGTCCTCTCTATGCCAATATCTAAATCATTGATGAAGATATTGAACAGAACTGGTCCCAGAACACCTCTGTGAAACCCCACTTGTTATGCCCTTCTAAAACTGAGCAACTTTTAGCATCTTGTCTTGAATGAATGCAAAAACTGAACCACCTAAATGGTTAGTCAATTAAAATAGTTGTATTATTGCAGGCATAAAAGTTTTTTGGGATGGGTTCTGTCCCTTTCATTGGTTTTACCCTGTGTTTTCTTTCTCTTTTTGCTCCCAAAGTGATTTCTAAAAGAGGGGAAGACTCTGAAGGTCAAGCTTCCCTATTGTGCTACTTTTTCTTGGTAACTTCTGATATGAAATGTGCATTTTCCTGTATCTCCTTTCTAAGTAAAGAACCACTGTTGCCTCTTCCCCACACTGTAATTTTCCATCTCTTATTCCTCCTGTGATAAGCTCCTCCAGGGTTTCCTG